TAACTAGCATGACACATTATCAATCAACTAACCATTTAATCTGTAATTTTGTTCTTTTTTTTTTAATGACAATTTATACGAGTTTCATTACATTTTTCACTAGCTAGTCAGATCAAAGCTTATTGTGCATTGTGTGTCCATGAAGCAATTTAGCATTTGTTAAATATGGTTAATTCGCCTCACGTCATTATGTTTAACTTTTTTTGGTAACTATATATAAATAAAAATGCAGGGGACAAGCTTTATGATTCTGCTTCTAGGTTCCGGCTATCAGATTTTCCAGCTTTTGCATTGGAGTGTCTTCCCAACCGAAATTCCTTGGTTTATGGAGAGCTTTATGGCATAGAAAATGAAGCTTCAACTATTTTCAGAGGAACACTCAGATATGAAGGCATCAGAATACATCTCATTTTCCTAATATTATTCACTTTCCAAAAATTATTTAACTAAAGTGCATATGTTGGGAAGTCCTTAATTATTGGAAAAATATAGTTCTCTTTTTTTTTTTTTAAGTTGTGAAACTGCGAAGGAGTTACCCTGATAAAACTTATTTTGAATATCTTTTACTAGGTTTTGGAGAAATAATGGGAACATTAGCAAGAATTGGATTCTTCAATACCGAGACAAGCCCCATGCTAAAAACCGAGACGAGGCCAATGTATAGAACCTTTTTACTACAACTTATGGGGTGTGATGATACAAACGACTCGTCATCAATAGGTGAAAAATGGGTTGCTGATCGGATAGTTTCTCTTGGTTTAAACGAACAAGGTGATGCAGCACTAAAGACTGCCAAAACTATTGTGTAAGTTCATGTGAATGTATTTCAAAATATCAGTCAACTAGCTCAAAGGAATATTTTCGCATGTTCCTCACGTGTGCTTTTTGAGTTTTGTCATTTAGATTTTTGGGGTTTCACGAGAAGGAAGAAATACCAAAGGCGTGCCAAAGTGCATTTGACGTCACATGCCACCGCATGGAAGAAAGATTGGCATACTCTGGCTCCGAAAAGGTAAATTGTCGAATCTTTTCCCATGAACGAATTCGTAAGAATGGCAATTGCAAAAGCTCTACCCCTAATGACTCAATCATATTTTTCTATGTTAGTAATATCTCATAAAATGTTACAAATACGTGCGTGCAATTTGAAATCTATAATACATTGTTGAAGAAAACACATTTTTGTTTTTCTTTTATGATCAGCTTACACTTTAAGATTAGTTTGTGTTGTGTGATTATCCCATATAATTAATCATCTCCCGAGTGGTTATTAATCGCCTTTTCTGGCTAGGATATGGTGCTTTTGCACCACGAAATGGAAGTGGATTTCCCAAATAGCCTGCTAACTGAAAAACACCGAGCAACCTTATTAGAGTATGGAAGGACAGATGGAGTGAGATATTACACGGCCATGGCTTTAACGGTCGGTGTTCCTGCAGCCATTGGAGCTCTGGTATGTTTCCATTTTCCCTTTTTTGTTATTGCTAAAATTAAAATTAAATAAGTGAAACGTTCGATAAAAGCTAGCATTTCAATATTCTCTCTCAGCTCTTGCTCGGAAACAATGTGAAAGCGAAGGGGGTAATAAGGCCTCTCGACCCGGAAATCTACGACCCAGGTAAATTTACGGTCGGAAGATTATTGCAATTTGATTACAATTCTTCAAACATTTTCTTATTTTTGTGTGTGTGTGTGTGTGCATGATTTGCAGGGCTAGAGATTGTAGAGGCTTATGGCCTGAAGTTGCTTGAGAAGATTGATTTTGAGTCATGAAATGTGAGACTTGAGATGTCAGTTATGTGTGTATATACCATAGCCTACAAAATAAAAATTTACCTGTAAATGTTAATAAGCTATAACTCAAGACTTGAGAATACAATGACACTTTCTGTCATATCATCTTATTATGGTACTATTTTTCTCTTTCTCCATATTATATATATTCATGCTTAAATAAATCTATATACACAAATATTTATTCTTTGGTGTAAATCTCCTTTTTCGCATTCTTTCAACAACAACTATTCCCAACTGGTTGGGGTCTGGGGGTCAGTTGTACGCAGACCTTACCTTTGTAATTATACATACAAGAAGGCTGTTTCCGTAGCGACCCGAAGTGCTTTTTGCATTCTTTATTTAATTAATTTTTTTTTCATTTTCTTTTATCTTTCCTTTTTACTGTAATTTGTTTCCAATAACCATTATTATTGCTATTTTTTTATTTTTTTTTATTTTTTATTTTTTTTAGGTATTCTGTACAACAAGCCTGAACCAGATTGCGTATTTAATAAATTATCAACCTCAAGATTGAATGAATGGCCAACAAATTCCTGACAATAATAAACATATCTAAATGGGGCAGCCTAAAAATTTATTAGGAAGCATCAATAGAGGCATATTAAAGCCTCTCTAAAACCATCATATCATGGTTTTTAAAGGTCATTAAAAAAAACCTGGCATTTTTGTTTTCTTTAAACCAATAGTAACTAAGAAACGACCCATGAAGCCAGTTGATGTTCAACCTCCTCCCAATTGTGGACCTTTGTCACTAGAGGATGCCGAGGAACAGCGTCAAACTTGCACCATGGGTACGAATTCTCATAATCGAACAGAAGAACTTTGATACCAACTTCCGCACACTCAATGGCGTATCTCGGATTATCGTCGATCAATACCTTTGCTCCCAAGGACCTGCCAAAAAGAGACCATACAAATCAAACACCAGCTTTTTTGTTAGATATGACATAGGAGCTGTTTTTTTCAGAACAAATGTGTACTTGCAAATTTCTGATTTAGGTTTAGATTGCCCTTCCAAAGCAAAGTGATTGCCGAAATGAATCTCCTGAAAGAGGCCTGGATAGTGTTTGTCAATCCACTCGATTGTGTGCTCTTTTATTGCATTCTGTCGGGATCTATAATAAAAACTCAAGCTAATAATAGGTTATCGGGGATAATGAAATAATAGAAGCAGTTTGGAAGGCTGTCGAGGGCACATACGTAACGATGGACAAATTGTAAATTTCGGATAACTTTTGAAGAGCCTCCCGAGCACCTGGAATTGGACGTATCCCCTTTCGGAAATAATGAGTCTTGAAGAACTCGTGAACACGAATATCAGCTGAAACAGAAGATAACCAGTTAAATTTTAGCTACAAATGCTGAAAACGGAGGAGAACATGTCAATCTACAGTTTTTATTGGACTAAATGCATCACACACACCTAATATGATGATACTTGATATAGTAGTAGCTTATATTCAAAGATAGAGAAGAAAGAAAAATGTCTCATAAAAAAAGTGCTGGTTTGTCCATTGCAAATGGAGCTAGAAGAGTCATTGTTGACAATTCTCCTGGCATAGTGCTAATAATGGACTAGATCAAAATGGCTCAATTAAATTCTAGTGCTTCTTCTATCAAACGACGTAATGCACCTTGGGTCGCTACGGAAACAGCCTCCTTGTATAATTACAAGGGTAAGGTCTGCGTACAACTGACCCCCCAGACCCCAACCAATTGGGAATATACTGGGTATGTTGTTGTTGTTGTTGTTGTAAAAGTGCTGGTAATTGTAACAAAAAAATTTAAAATACGACGAGGGCGCATGACTAATGTTTGTGATACCAATTTTGGACTTTTCTCAATGTAAGAGCATAATGAAACTGACAACAAATTCCCAAGTGGGAAGAAAACAAAACATTTTTACAATGGTTACTTGGAAAAACGAAGAAAGTAACAAAATTAGGCTGCAGATGCTGCAAATGGATAAGAAAAGTAGTCTGTTTGCCCAAATCAGAAATCCCATTGGGGTATCAATTGTACGTAGACAAAATAAACATGATTTATTATGCTCATGTCTATCAGCACTCAGGAGTTACAGCATATTAGTCAATACCTTCATCACGTGAACAGTTCCATATCTGCAAGAAAAGATAAGACGTGAATCAGAGAACTCACGAGTTCAGTCTATAGCTAAAGATTACTGCAGAGAAAACTCATGCCCATGAAATTATTGCAGTTCATCTATTCAAACAACATAAGTGCAGAGTAAGATTATGCTTCACTCTTACCAACAAATACCAAAACATTACTTCTTTTGCACGATCAGGTCATTACGGTCCACCAGTGAAGAAAATTACATTTGGGCTCAAGAAAATAGTTGGCCCCGAAACTTCCTTAATTATGCATATTTACATCAGACAAACTTAGTAGCCCCAACATTTTGAAGATCTGTGGAACACGTACATATTTACAACTAATGCATTGGTCGTGCAGAAGCTACACGAAGCATAATTAAGCAAAACTACAATCACACCAAATGCATACATTTTGCATAACACGGACACCAAATGAATGCATCAGATTTTTTCTCAAGTTTGGCGTATAGTTCCCTTTACAGCTAAAACACGGAAAATCCCATCTGAACCAAATGGAAATATTCTAACTTCTGCGTCAATGTAAAAGGGATCCTACTCTATTATCCATAAATCACATCAAAAGCCCATTATGTTGTACCTTGAAAAATTCATAGACATGGTATTCAGAAACTGAATGATTTAGGGAGTAGCGATCTGCAATGAACTGATTAAGAGCTGACACGAAGTTCCCAAGAACTGCCATCAAAGTAAAAAAAGAATGTAAATACACGAATGTGATCATTCCAACTCAAATAAAGCATTTTAACACTCATGAGAAATACATGAATCCAAACTTTTTACAAATGATCATTCCAACTCAAATAAAGAATTTTAACACTCATGAGAAATACATGATCCAAACTTTTGTCAATGATTTCAGCAAGTGAAACCGATATGTAAACAATACACATCATGAAAGGCAATCACAGTATGAAGAAACATAACTGGTTGAAACAGACCCGCCTAAATGTCGCCTTTCCAGTAGATTGCTGGATTGTAGAAAAGTGTGCCAAAAAGTTGATCAATGATAATGCAATATCAAGTATGACAGAATTTTTCAAAGCTAGAATTACAGTGATTGACTATTTCCCAAAAAAAACTTTGTCATGAAAACAGGAAATGAGAAAATAATCAATTATCATTTTGATCCAATGGCAGTTCATGGCTACATATATCCTAAGAAAAGGGAAAAAAATCATTGAACACTCGAGCAACCAAAAGTCGAAAAACCACAGAAAATCAAAATACCCTCATCAACGTCAACAGCGACCATGACTTTGTCCTGAAACGGCTGCCCCAAAGCTCCCTTAAAGTTCCCTCTGTTAGCGGCGGAGCTGCCATTAACAGCCCTTGAGTTGAGACTCTTCTGCTGATCCTCGACGACCTTAACAGCTTCCTCCGAAACACCCAGCAGCTGCCGGACGCAAGGAGAATAAACTCTCGCTTTCTGAACCCCACTTCCCATACTGTTATTATTATTATCATTATTATTTCGCAGAGCGCTGCCGTAGTTTTGGGAGGAGCAAGCCTTGAGCGTGAACCTATTTTTGAAAAACCTTGAGGTGCTTGTGTCAATGGCGGATGAAGCAGAGGTCGACGAAAGTGCTCTGAGAGATGCCATATGGAAATCCTTATGCCCCACCATGAAATTCGAGGCCGCCGCCGCCGCCGCCGCCATGAAAGAGGTCCCAAAACGGCGGAAATCGGTTATACAATCCCGAATCGGTGACCGGAAACGCCTGCTTATCATGCCGGGTTTATCGCAAATTCACCGGGAAATTTACCCTCATATCTAAATGGGATCTGGGGATCAACAGCGGTAGACTGTAAAGAAAAACAAAATAGAAAGAACAAAAAAAAAAATGAAATTCTTTCTAGGATTCAAAGAATATCCACCATGATTGATCGACTAATTGAGGAGAGCAGCTGCAATTAGTGGCAGCGGCGGATCAATTTTCCTACGATTTCAAGCAAAATTATTGAAAAAAGAAAAGAAATAGCACAATTATGTATTCAAGAATGAACATGTTTTTGTTAGTTTCAAGACAAAACTGAAAGATGCAGACTGCGACAGAAACGAATTTTTTTCATGGCTCTGATATTTTCAGAAATATTTTCTCTTTTATTTCTTCTTTTTCAGTTATTTATGGGCGATTTTTTTTTTTTATTTATTATTGAAATTGTATATTAATATAAAAAAAAATTAATTGCATAAAAAATTTCAACCTTTTTTAATTGCAAATAAAACTCAACTTTTTCAATTTGACAAAAAATACCAAACTTTTATTAAGTGTTGCAATTTTGTCTCGACTGCCGCAACCGCCACCCGCCGCCGGTCAACTTCGCCGGATATTGAAAATTTTTACATGATCTTGTAGCTCTCCTCCGTGCCGACAACATATCCGAGTTTCACGAAAAAATTCCGACGATAAGGCTTCCAATTTCGGCCAAAGGTCGTAGAAAATTTGTAGATCTACGACCGTTGACCGAAAAATTGGAAGCCTTATCGTAAGAATTTTTTTATGAAACTCGGATATGTTGTCGGCACGGAGGAGAGTTACAAGATCATGTAAAAATTTTCAATATCCGGCGAAGTTGGCCGGCGGCGGGTGGCGGTTGGCGGCGGAGGTCCGGCGGGTGAAACAAAATTGCAACACTTAATAAAAGTTCGATAATTTTTTGCCAAATTGAAAAAGTTGAATTTTATTTGTAATTAAACAAAATGTTGGGGTTTTTATGCAATTAACCCAAAAAAAATCAAAAGATACACTTATATTATTTTGTAAATGGTACAGTTCCGTTACGGAATAGCTCTATTGGGGTTTGTAACCGCCGGCCGTCAAAGATAGTTAATTTAATGGATACGAATCCCGACAAAATGATTCAGTAAAGAATATATTTTTCCCTCAAACTCAATAAAAACAATTCAGAAGTTAAATGAACCAGTATTATATATATCTCAACAAAATTCAATATCACCCAGTCACATATTACTAACTACTAATTATTTAATTATTATTTTAATGTAATTATATCATTTCAACATTATCATCATTAAATTTTAATTAGATATTCATTACATATTAAAAAATAATAATTCTTCCACCTTTTTTTTTTTTCAAATCAAATTTTATTAAAAAGAATCCATGTCCAATCACATAAGCTTTGATGTTTGAAATGCACGAGTTTTATGTGTAGGTATCTATACTTCTCAAAATCAATGTTAATCAATATTTTGGTCAAGATAACATAACTTATTAATTAAAGCCTTATCTCTTTTGGGGCGGTACATCTTTATTTTAGCATTTTTCTTCTATAAAAGTGACGGCAAAATCTATATATATATATAAAAAGATTTACTATTTTTCACAGGTCAAACTATAGTCAAAATTCATTTGCATTAATTACATACTACTTTTAGTAATTTTTATTTGTTTTTTTTGGGCAAAAAATCGAGCATCATAAATGGAGCCCTTAAATCATGGTAGTTGTTAATTTAGTTTGGAGAAAATCATGGCAAATAAACAAACAATATTAATGACGGCTAATTTAGTATTTAAATAGTAAAACAAATTATCTTTGTTTATGGCTTATTTAATTTTACATTTGATTTAAATTAAAAAAAAACTACTTTTGTAATTTCAAAAATTTGTACACTTTAATGTACGAGTGATTTAAAATTAAGAATTTACTTTTGTATTTTCACAAAAAATCGTATACAGAAGTATGACTGAAATAATAATAAAAATTTAATTTGTTAAACCATATTTTGCACTCATAGATACGAATTCTCATCAAATTCAAAATTTAAAATTGTGAAGAATGATGCAGACTGATTGAAGATATATGTAATTCTTTAAATTAAAGAATTTTTTCAGGTTAAAAACAAAAAATATAAACTTTAAATATAGATTTTATTAATAGTGTATACCAAAGAATACTATTCATTTAAAATTCCTATTACGAATAATTTTGTTAATTTTCAAATTCAACATCTCATAAAAATAAAATAATACACTTTTACATACTATGAAACAATATTTAAAATCCTCCGTGCAACAACATACATAAAATGTAAAATTACCTAACATGAATCATTTTAATTTTCTAAAATATGTACACAATTTGCTCAGTATGCACTGATATTCAGAGTTAATATTTGCTATGACATTTATTGGTTGGATAGAATTCCATTTTGTATGAATTTCGAAATAAAACACAGATTCTCAAAATCAAATCTGATTTGGAGATCGATTTCTTAATGACCTTAAATTATGCAAATATATTGTTTCAGTTTTTGGGATTCTTTTTTATGATTTCAACCTTTACATTATATGAAATAAACAATAAAAACCGCCGTACAACAACATACATACATACATAATATCTATATCTATATAATAAGAATTACCATTTTTCAAAAATGGCAGGTCAACTGCAGGTCAAATCCGGTCAGCATTAAATTCTTACCAATTTGGTTAAGTTTTTTTGTCTGTAAAATCGGCTAACATTTAATGTTGCCCATAATTTGTGGGATTACCAATGTGTCATACCCAATATGTAACTGCTTATCTATTTTTCGTATGAAAAATAATTTATTCAAAGGGATTGTGAATCGTTTTCATTTTGAAACGATAAACACGGGAACAGAAATAAATATCGACTCGGTGGTTTGAGGAAAACCCTAAAAAAGGGGAATTGTCGCCTTTTATAGGCGAAGTTGACCAAATTTAAATTGTCCGATGTGGTATATACATATATATGTTTATGGACTAGATAAATTCACATAAATGAATATTGGGCCAATTTTATTGGACATTTTTAAAGGTGTGAAAGTTTTTATTTAATGTATGTGGGCCACCTATTACGGCATGGAAAAATAGGCGCATTGGACCGAACATATGGGTTAATTATTAATGTCCAAAAATTTAATAGTATTGGGCCAAAATTAAATTAGTGTCAGATTTTGTTTGGTTGTCATGTTGTGATGGTCTCTAAAATTATTGTTAGTGTTCTTTTACTTTACAACTGTTTTTAATAACTAAAGAAAATACTAATTGTTTACAGTATTACTAAAAACAATATTTTTATATATTTTGTTAATTTATATTTTAAATTTACTGTTGATTTGTTTTTAATGATATGTTCAATAATAAAATTGACTTTTATTAATTTTTTAGAAATATAATGAGTCATCGTACCATCGTAATGACTAATACGAAAAAGCAACAAAAACTGGTACGTAATTTTTTGGAGTTTCAAGGACAATCACCCTTATATACGAAAATCATTTTCTATTAGTATAAATGATTCTACATATAATATATTAAATTATAGACTAGAGCTAATATGCTCGAGTTTAACGTGATGACTTAAAAACAACTTGATTACAAGAAGTAGATCTAACTCTATTATTTTTTAAGCCTAAACGGACATGTCTTATTAAAATGACTCATTTAACAAAACTGACCTGTGCATCGCACGGGATATGGACTAGTGAAAAGAAACTAATTTACATCAAGAGAGCTGTGACTTTATTCAAGTCATTATGTTATTTTCCACATCAAATAAGTAATAAATTTATTTCATTCAAAGATTCAAAATTTATGTTTAATATTAATATCATGGCATTATAAGTTGACATGTAAATTAGATACTTTGGGGGAAATGCTACGGTCTCATTACAATACCATCTCGTCGGGTGTTTTAACTGTTAAATCATCTATCTTATCTATTCCGGTTAAAACACTCGACGAAATGGTACCGAACGAGACCATAATATTTCCTGATACTTTGTCATAATTTGTGTATCAAAAAACTGCACGAATAAGACTGGGAACCCTTATCTTAGAAGAGATGACTGATTTATTATTAATTATGATACGTTCGTCAAATATAAAAATTGATAATTTAAATTAATTTAATTACAACATAAAATAGTACATACCTAAATGTATTGTTGGGGTATCACAACAAGCGCAACGGACAAAAATACCCCTCCAACGAATATGGTGGACACTACTCCAAACAAAAATAAGCCAACACAAATAAACAAAAGACGAGAAGAAAAAAAAACACAAAAATTGATAACGGAGTTCGGCGAAAATAGCCTACGTCTCCGGGCACCGCTAACCGCAACGCTAAATTTACTAAACTCAGCAACAAAATACAACTAGGGTTAAATAACCCACAAAATAGGATTTCCTTAATTAAGGATTTCCTTCTAAATAGGAGAGAATAGAATAAGGTGCAATTGGAACCCAAAGGCAAGGGACCTATTTATACTAAAAAGATCCTACACATCTTTGGTATACATCTGATGTGGGACAACAATTAATCAAAAAACTAACAATTCTCCACCTTGACTAATTTTGCTCCCACTTCCAACTCAACTGCTAGCGGTGCCTCCGAATGCGCCTCTCGGCTATGCAGAATGTTGGTCAAGTCTAAACAATGTTCAAACTTGACTGCTGCCACTACCTTGGTCATCATATCTGCAGGATTCTTCGTTGTCTTGATCTTCTTCAACACAACAGTTCCATCTTCTAGAATCTCCCGCACAAAGTGATAGCGAACATCAATATGCTTCGTTCTTGCATGAAATACTTGATTTTTCGCTAAGTGAATAGCGCTCTGACTATCACAATGCACTAAGACGTGCTTTTGACCAACGCCCAATTCTTCAAGCAAACTTTGAAGCCAAATAGCCTCCTTCACAGCTTCAGTAACCGCCATATACTCTGCCTCTGT